AAAACAAAAGCAAAGTTGCACTGGATGCACTGGCCACACAGAGAGGAGCAGAGAGAAATAGACAAACTAGCAGTTTGTACACTGGTCCAATCAAGATGCCTACAGTAAATGGTCTTCATTCTGGGTAGAAGGCCTAGATACCAATATTTTCTCTGGCGATTTACAGTACAGAGTCATTTCAAACTACATCCAGTGAAATCAATGGGCTTTGACTGGAGTTGCTCTGTATAAGACTGCAGTGTTATAGTGTCAATGCAAATCTCATCAATTGCCAGCACTGCTTTGGGGGATTCTCCCTCATATATTAAAGAGCACAAACATAAAAATATTGCAAAATATGATTGCGAGAAACTTCTGTTTCAAAATATCAGATCTCTTCCTTCAGGGAGACACCTGAGCACTTGCATTCGTCTTGCTTATTGCTTGTAACATCACCAGATCCAGACTCTACATTGGATCTAGTCATCTGAGGATATAAGGATTATGCATCTTTCCTGCATTCCCCTTCCCTTAGCAATCCTTTCTGATCCTAGGAATATTTAGTCCCAGCACTGCAGGACCCATATGGATTAGTAGCCTTGTGGGTCAGAAGGCTGCAGTCGGAAGGAGAAAGGGGGCAAAATTGCCCTCTCATCTCTGCTCCCACAGCAGTATTGCACTGGCAGAAAAGGGTTTCCATTAGAAGAAGAAGAAGAAGAGAAGAGATTGGATTTATACCCCGCCCTTCACTACCCAAAGGAGTCTCAGAGCGGCTTATAAACTCCTTTCCCTTCCCCTCCCCACAACAGACACCCTGTGAGGTAGGTGGGGCTGAGAGAGCTCTTGACAGAAACTGCTCTTTTTCAAGGACAGCTGTGCCAGAGCTTGTGACTGACCCAAGGTCACATCAGCAGGTGCAAGTGGAGGAGTGGGGAATCAAACCCGGTTCTACTAGATTAGAGTCCACGCACTTAACCACTACACCAAACTGGCTCTTGACCCATATGTACAGACTCTTGACCCATATGTAGGGCTGCCAGGCCTCCCATTATGGTGGGAGACTTCCCGTCAACAACCATAGTTGCCTGTTGCTACTCCAAGTGGTGATGTGAGAAAATAAAATGGCAGCATTGGTCACATCCCCACAGTTTTACTATACAGCTTCTGATTATTCCTAGAGCTACCCTATGTCCCTACCCTACACTAACCATAGATATTATCAAGGAAGAATGCACAAAGACTTTTTCTGTAGCCAAAAGAAATGGAAAGTCTCAATGGATGACTGAAAAGTCTCGGTGGATGATTCCTAAAATTGCTAAAAATAAATGACAAGCAAACGTTACAGGTGACAGAAACAGAATGAGTAGGCTAAAAGCAATCTTCCAGCAATTCGCACACAGAGACAAAGAAAGCTACTACAATAACCAGTGTAAAGAAAGAGAACAGAACAGGAAAGAAGGAAGAACAAGAGAACTGTTCCACAAGATCCAAGGTATCAAAGGGAAATTTAAATCACAGCTAGGGATGCTGAAAGATCAACATGGACATACATTAACTTAACAAGACAAAATGCAGAAAAGATGAGAACAATACATGGAAGAACTATTTTTAAAAAGAGAGGAAAGGATGGCAGATTCCTTCAAATAAGAATCATTTGAAGAAGAACCTGCACTTTTAGAAAGCGAAGATAAAGCTGCACTCAAAGCAATTGGGAGAAACAAATCACCAGGAGAAGAAGAGATACCAATAGAGCTATTTCAAGCCAAAGAAATGGAGTCCTTCAAAATCTTAATGAGAAAATTCCAACAAATATAGACAGCAATAGCACACAGACTGTAAATGTTCAGCCTTTATTCTAGGACAAGTCAAAGATTCCAGTAACTATCAGACCGTCACATAAATTTTTCATGCAAGTGAAGTGATGCTCAAAATCTTACAACAAAGACTGTTACCATTTATGGAATGAGAAATGCCAGATGTTCAAGATGAATTCAGAAAAGGAAGAGGCACTAGAGATCATATTGCAAATTTACGTTGGTTACTGGAGCATATGAAATAATTTCAGAAGAAAATCATCTTGTGTTTCATAGATTACAACAAGGATTTTGACTGTGTGGATCATGAAAAGCTATGGCTGGTTTTAAAAGAAATGGGTGTGCCATGACATCTGATTGTTTTGATGCACAACCTATACTCTGGACCACTGGCTACGTTAGAACAGAATATGGAGAAACTGAACAGTTTCCAATTGGCAAAAGTGTCAGAGAAGGATTCATTTTATCTCCCAGTCTCTTCAAACTACATGCAGAACATATCATAAAGAAAACTGGATTAGATTCAGAAGAAGGTCAAGTGAAAACTGGTGGAAGGAACATTAACCAGTCGAGATATGCAGATGACACAACATTACTGGCAGAAGATAGTGAATATTTGTATCAACTAGTGATGAAGGTTAAAGCAAGATGGGTAGCCAGCAGAAAAGAATAAGAGTCCAGTATCACCTTAGAGACCAACAAAATTTATGGTAGGGTATGAGCTTTCGTAAATCACTGCTCACTTCTTCAGCTCTATCTGAAGTGAGCAGTGACTCACAAAAGTTAAAGCAGAAAGTACCAAAGGAGAATTACAGCTGAACATCAAGAAGACAAAAGTAATGACTACTGATGAATTACACAACTTTAAGGCTGGTGGCGAAGAAACTGAAATTAGTCAAGATTTTCTATTCCTTAGCTCCATTATTAACCAACAGGTTAGAAATCAGGAGGAGGAGGAAAAGGAGGAGAAGGAGAAGAAGAGGAGGAGATCAGATTTATATCCCGCCCTTCATTACCTGAAGGAGTCTCAGAATGGCTTGCAATCGCCTTTCCCTCCCCCTCCCCTGTGATGTAGGTGGGGCTGAGAGAACTCTTTTGAGAACTGCTCGTGGGAGAACAGCTCTGAGAGAACTTGTAATGACCCAAGGTCACATCAGCAGCTAGATGTGGAGGAGTGGAGAATCAAACCCAGTTCTCCCAGATCTGCACTCCTAACCACTACACCAAACTGGAGGCTGAGACCAGGAAGGGCAGCCACGAAGTAGCTACAAAAGATGCTTAAGTGTTAGGGTGTGTCACTGACAACCAACATCATGATAATTCATACTACAGTATTCCCCATTACTGTGTATGGGTATGAAAGTTGGACAATGAAGAAAGCATGCCCTATGTCACTTCCAGTGTTCCCCAGAAAGTTACATACAGACCCAGCCTATGTTGCACCCTCCCATGTCCCCGCCTCCAACTCTCCTGCCAGTTGCTATGCTCATCTTGGCAGCTATACTACTATTCATCTATGTGGGCCCTAAAACCCTGGGAATAAACTCGCCTGGAGTTAGAAAAACCTGCTGGGTGAAGAATGGGGAGAACACAGGGACGATTTATAACTGTTAGCTCCTTCCACGAACAGATCACTGGCTCCCATCCTCTGTACCTTCAAAGAGTGGCATGGACGGAAAAATCACTGAGTAGTACAGCTTTTCCTGTCAGTATAAAACTGATTTGGGAAAGGTTTGTACATGCAATCGGGAAAAGTCTGCATGTAATCAGAGCTGCTGGAGACTCAGTCGCTTGGAAAACTCAGGCATTCTCTGTCTGCCAAAATGGAAGCTGAGCTTTATGGAAAATCTGTCCTCAAGTGCTTTTAACTCCAAGGTGGCAATATAAGTGGCAAAATGGATGGGTTAAAAACCGAAGAAAAAAGTTTAAAAGTGGCAAAGAAAAGCCTTGGAAATTAAACACCTTTTGTGGAGAGTGCGGCATTGAAATTATCCCCCTCATATGAAGGTTTCTGATTCAGTCCAAACATTTCATCACAGCCTCCCTCCCCTCTCTCCACACCTGCTGCATGGGCACAAAGCCCACCACTATTGTGTGGGCACCCTCTGCCTCCACCCCAACAGCTAAACATTTAATGGGAGTACTGGCACCTGGCCCAAAAGGATTCTGGACTCTTTTTTTCTGCCACTGAACTCAGGCCTGTCCTTCCTTCACACTTTGGGTACCCCTTCCGCTTAAGGAAGCACTACCATTGTTGAAGAGAAAAAGATGCCAAACACCTCCATAATTCAGACACACAGCTTCCTTGGCTTTCACCAAGATGTTGCCTAGAAAACCTTTATTCTTTGTTGCAGCAGATGTCTTCAAGCTTAGCAGAGAACTGCTAAGCTAGCAAGCTCAGACAATTCCATTACGTTGCAGGATTTAAGCCAGAGACTGAAGTGTGTAGCCTATCTGAAATTTCAAAGTGATATTTAAACAGTGATTCTATTAAGTTAAAGTCTAAGAGAAGTGATTGACACCAGGAAGGAGTCTTGAAAAGTGTGCAGAAGCTTGTTTTTCCAGAAAATAAGAGAGGCAAGAAGAAAACAGGAAGGCAAGGCAATGAGATCAAAGTGACAATCTTAGACCAAGATAAGTAGATTTAAAGAGGGTTTGGGGCTATTTCTGGAACCTGACATAACAAAATGCCTAATGAAATACATTCAGTTGATGGTAAAAACATGTATCTATGTAACCTGAGATATGAGTGTCATTGGGTTTGTTTTGTTTTTGTTTTTGCAAAATATCAGCATCTTGAAATTAGTTTTTTTGCACAATTTAGTTAGCCAGATCCTTGTCACTACAGTCCCCTTGACAACAATGAAATTGCATAGATGTGACTGGCAGCAAAAAACAAAACAAAACAAAAAAGACACGGATTATTCAAGTGACTAAAAGATCTCTGTACACTAGATTCAGTTTCTACAGGTTAAACATCAAGTGATACCATCTTCAATATTCAGACTGAACCCTCTGTTACAAAACAGAAGTTTTCCCTAGACATCTGATGGTATTTATTGTACAAGGCTAAGTACTCCCTATAGGTATGGCATGATTTTAAAGTGCTGTGATTGTATTAAGTAATCACCATGCTATATATGGAAGGGATTAAGTGGTGTTTAAGTTGGTTTTAAGATAATAATTGCCAGTTAATTCTGGACTCACGTATGGTGTAGAACACACCAACCGCAGTGAGGGTCTCCTGAGCTCAGACATTCTCCACAGGTTGTGTACTGTTCACAGGATTCAACGGAAACCTGGGACACCTAGAGGAAAAAAAGAACACATCAAACACTCATTCAGTGCAAATTCACTCATCTTGTTTGCCAAACTAACTCAAGAAAACAAGCCACACACAGCTGAACTTCCTGAAGTAAATGAGTGACAAAATTTTAATTAAATCTCTCAACATTCTCATATAGATATGTGAATAGCTTGTTCCTTTCCTTCCACTGCCCTCATTGCAATGAGGTGGTGGAAGTAAAATTAGAGTCCACTACACTCGTTCCCCATTAACTTATTTAAAACATGTACTAGCTGCCTTTCTACTTTGTAAGAAGTCAAGGTAGTTTACAACCACGGCTGTCATATCTCTTCCCCTCACTGGAAAGAATGCCCCATCTCCTCTTAATTGTAATGGAGTTTGTGATTGCTGCAGGTAAATGTGTTTCCCTTTGTAGAGAGAAGAAGAAGAGAGAGAAGATATTGGATTTATACCCAGCCCTCCACTAACCAAGGGAGTCTCAGAGTGGCTTACAAACTCCTTTCCCTTCCCTTCCCCTCCCCACAACAGACACCCTGTGAGGTAGGTGGGGCTGAGAGAGCTCTGACAGAAACTGCTCTTTTTCAAGAACACCTCTGACAGAACTATGGCTTGCCCAAGGTCATCCAGCAACTACGAGTGGAGGAGTGGGGAATCAAATCCGGTTCTCCCAGATTCGAGTCCATGCGCTTAACCACTACACCAAACTGGCTTGTAGAGCATGTGAAGCTGAATGCAAACCATGGGTGGCTTTAAATCCTGCTAAAAAGAAAACCCTGTTGAACTTCAAACCTTGTTAAGGTGGATGCCAACAAGGGTTGTCAAATTCCAGGTGGTGGCTGGAGATCTCCTGGGATTACAAATGCTCTCCAGTTCACTTGGAGAAAATGGCCACTTTGGAAGGTGGACTCTATGGTGTTATACCCCATTGAAGTCCTGTAAAGGTTCTCTCTCCTCCCCAGACCACACAGGACTGGGAGGGGAAAGAATTCTTTACTGGAACAAAGGATTTACACAAGAACCCAGGAGAGGTAGGCTCTCTGGATTTAAGACAATAGCCACCAGAATCTTTTCAACTATAGTCCCCTTCCAGTGCAAGGGCAAGGTTCAGACTCTTCACTAGCCTCTGGCACTTATTACAAGAATACTCTTAGCATGGTAGCATAATGTGGTGAGCAGTTTCAGGCAACAGGAAAAAGGCTTGGAGTCAGTTTACATATCTCACAGACACTATTTATAACAAGAATAAAGTTTATTTAGCACAGGCTTGCAATCATAACTAGAAAGACTTTAAAAGAACATCCTAAGCAATATTTTGCCTAACTACACAATAGCGCATATTTACCAACATCAGGTAGGGTCAATAGTCCAGTGGGAAGACCAAAAATATCCTAGTTGTGGGGATGCTGGAGAGGGAATATTGGGGTGCAGTGCATATTCATTTCCTATCTCCTGTACTGGTTTATGAAGTGGAGCATACAATGTTTTGCAAGACAGCCACATTACCTCCTGTGCCTGTGATTACCTGCCCTGCTAGACACCTAACAGCAGACCAGCTTCAAGGAGAACCATGTAGCAGGAACTATTACATATTTGTTCCTTTACCTGGGGTAGGGTTCCCTGCATCCACCTGGTACTTCCTGCTACTGCTCTGAGCAGTGGTGGGAGAAAAAAAATTGGCCATCAGCCAACAGCATGACGTCACTTATGGGAAAACCAGGATGTGACATTAGTCATCTCTAGGAATGCCAGAAATTTGGACAGTTCCTAGATAGGCATGATGTCACAGCTGAATTTTCCCAGAACTGATGCCACATTGTTGTCTGCTGCCCCCCTCATGTCACCCCCCCCATCTCCTGCTGCTTGCCAGGCCAGGCCTGGCAACCTTAGCAAGGAGCATGAGGAGTGTCAGCAAGGGAATTTCCAATTGGAACAGAAGGGTAAGTGGAATAAACAGACAGCAGAACACCATGGAAAGCTAGTGGCCAAGGCTCATTGGCCATTGCCACATACTGGACTAAAACAAGTGCCCATTTAATATCTGATGGTTGCTGTGTTTGTGTCTTATGCTGGAATAATTTTTGTTAGGTTTGAATGTGCCTCTGTACTCCTATTTAATTGTGTCAGTTTACAGAGTATATGAACACTTTTCTCAACACAACAACAACAATTACTCATTCTCTAATAGCAAAAACACAAAGTTTACCATATGGTAAAGATTCAGTCATCTCATTGGCATGGCCTGTTGGTACTTTCTGTGACTGTGCAGCAGCCTAATAAGGCCAGAGAACAGGGCACAGCCTGTGCTGACAGATGGCCTAGCAGTCTAAGTTGAACACATCAAGGATCAATTCCTGGCTTGTGCAAGGAAACCTGTCTGCTAATGCCTCAGGCAGCACTTCTCCTGGCACAATTCTGAATCAAAAAGCTGTTCCCTCAAATCCCCAATTGTAAGAATGACTGGGGATATGGTTATGACAGGAGATGACTCTTTACGTGGCCTGGAGTAAAGGCACACTAGCTCCTTATTTACGGGCCAGTCACACTCTAAGAAGTGCTAGTGGCAAGAAGTGGATCAGGAATGCATCTTGTACTTGCAGATAGTTCCCCGCCCCCTTTTTTTTGTTCACTGGGTCAAGAAGAGTAATTATGACTTCACATAGACAATGGCATAACTCTGGCCTACTTTCTTGGTGTGAAGGGCACCACTGAGACTATCTTTTTTTTCAATGGCTTCAACATCTAATCTGCCTTACTGCTGAAATCCTCATCCACATTTAGTCAACTCATGTGTCCTTTGGGGTCTTTAAACACAGCAAGTCAAAGCACGACCCACAGATGTATTTTGTATTACCATTTGTATGATATCCCATCTGCACATATTAGTTTTTTTGGGGGAGGGGGATAACTATGTTGCTTTTCATCTCCTTAAAAAACAAAAGAGAAGACACAACTGTAAAGGGAAGATGGTATACAAATGCCTCTAATAAACAAATCTTGGCACTTTGTAATTGAAGAGGAAGAAGTACTTTCTTGCAATGGTCATATGGGGTATGTGCATGGAGGCAATACAAGAACATTTCAAGGTAAGAATCAAAACGAAATCCACAATATGGTGAGGCATCAGATGCCATGTGTAGAGAAGTATCCTATTTATCTCCAGTCATGCCACAAAAAATATCTAATAGGTACCCTGCCACTTGGGCAATTCCTTTGCAGA